ATAAGACATTATTTGCTTATAAAAAATAAATGTTAAATTTACAAGAAATTTTAGAAGTTAGATGTAAAACAATTTAAAAGGTAACAAAGAATATTCCAATTATGAATTTAATTTTTTTTTTTTTACATTGATAAATGATATCCAAATAATTTTTCTGTTACATGGCAAAGCACCTCAATTTCAAAAAGTAGTCTATTTTATTTAATTTTTATTACCTCTTCTTCAATAACAAACGTGGGATTCATTATTCAAGCTGATGAACAGGAAATTGAAATTCGACATCTTTGCTGGTAAGGTTTTTATATACCGATTTGAAAGTGTCTAGCTTATATTCTAAAGATGTGGCATCCTTACTATCAAGAAAGCTAAAAAAAAAAATAAAAAAAAATAAATTATATATTGAAACTCAGCAATCGATAATTATGAAATAAGCAAAAATTGTAATACACTTTAATAGTCTTGCTGCCATCGACTTTGACACACGTCCTTTTACCCACAATCTCGGTTGGGTACACCAAATCTTCAAGGTACTTTTCATGAACTGAAGTAAGAGTACGTGATCGAGGACGAGCTTGTTTAACACGAGACTTACGGCCGGGTTTACGTAAAATACGACGATCCGCGATGAAAACAATATGTCGGTCCGAGAATTTTTTTTCTAGTTCACGAGTTAGTCTGCATGATGTTTTGGGTAATTAAATGACTGCATAAAATACTCAGTAAACTCATCAATACGGAAAATGAACCTTTGTTGGATTTTGTGAAATTGTTTCAATGTAGGAACCGGCACAAAAATCACAATGGCCTTTTTACCTCCACCTAATTCGTACTTAAGAATATAATATCAATAGATAGTTATTAATCGATCCATGTAATAAATCAAATATGTCACTTTGCTTTTCAAACCTCTTTAGCGTCAGTAATTTGTAAGGGCTTCAAGTCCTTTTTCAATTCTGGAACGTTGTTTTCCAAATCGAAAAGGGCCTGTGCAATTTGCTTAGCGGTTTCATCCGTGGTCAGCTGGCCCGACCGTTTAGCAATCTTCTTCTCGGACATTATAATTCTGGAAGAATTGTAGAGGAGGAAACAAAAGTCGCTGATTTTTTTTTTTTTTATCTAACAAAATTTTCCATCATGTGAGTGATTGTATCTCATTGGATGATCTTAAAAATTTTCGATCAGATAAATAGCATAACGTCGATCATTTTTATCTTCAATTCGTAAAATGAAATCAATATGCTTGGTGGACAAGTTAACATGGAATTTTCCTGGAAATATGAATCCTCATGCTTTTGCCTTTGGGGATGTCGACA